GTGGGACGTCGGTGCAAGGGTGACATGGAGGAGATCGTGTGAAGAGGAGTTGAAACAGTATGGATTAACATGGATGCAGGTGAAAAGTACAGGAGAAGACAGAAGCAAGTGGAGACGTGTAGTTGAAGCTCTATGTTCCACTAGGAACCCAAGGGAACAATAATAATATTATAATAATAACCTTCAATATGTGGTTGCCTACAGAACCATACTGGGGTGACCGATGAAGACAAGACGCAGGCGAGAGATGAATTGGAAATCAAGTATGCTTTTGTTGTCAGAAGTTTTAATTTGTAATGTCGTGTTGCCATCAGTGGATAAGAATTTATGAAAATTATTAGAAGTCTCTATACTTTGATTTGTATATACATTTACATAGTAGAAACATGATGATTTGGTTGGAGGATTTCATCATGAGCTGACATCATTTAGAGGACCATTGGAAAACCAGTTGGGAGTGCTAGACAGCTGTTTCGTCCTGCTTTGGGACTCTTCACAGGACGCACCCATAGACAGGGGTTTGGAACCGAGGACCTTCTGGTTACAAGGCGACCTTGTCATGAATTGGAAGAAGTTGGAATTCATGAACAGGGCATTGCATCGGGTCCCAGTGGCTAGATAGTCTATGGGCTCGCCTCGTAAGCAGAAGGTCCTCGGTTCGTACTCTGTCGATGGGTGCGTACTGCAAAGAGTCCCAAAGTAGGACGAAAAAGCTGTCTATTACTTCCTGGTTTTCCAATGGTTCTCTAACTGATTTCAGCTCATGATGAAATCCCCCAATCAGTCAAACAAAATTTCCTACAAAATCAATACTTGAAATTATGATAATTCCTGGAGAAGTGTAACATTATTGAAGATTTCTGTAAATGCCTTTCTGTAGAAAAACAATACAATGAATTATGTAACTGCATATTGGAAGTTTTGTAAATTGCTATTTCACTTTGGAGTGCGTTGGTGGTCTAGCTGACCATGCACATGGTCCGGGGTTCGATCCCCGGCCACAGACGCATTCCTTTACCACACTGAGCCAGAAATAATGCTGGTGAAGAGGAAAGGTTGGGCATGAGGCTAGCAACCCCATCCTGTAAAATAAACACTGCTACAGAAACTTCAAACCACTAGCTTGAAGCCCTATGTTCCACTGGGAACGTGAAGGAAAAAAAAATTCACTTTGGAGCTACTTATACTACTATTGTGGTGAGAGCTGGCTGCTAGCCAAATCTGGTAGACAGTAATTGACGTCGATGTTTATGTCCCCAATATTGGTGGTGAGAAAATGAGAACAAAGGCTTTGCGTAGGCGGATACAGTTAGCATATGGATGATCTGACGCAGCCACAAGAGATGCAACGTTAACTTTCTGTGAGAAACAACCAATCAAAAGACTGTATTTTCCACTAACAATAATCTACAATAGTGTACATTAAAATCTATAAATATGTGCTGATTTTCCTTAATAAACGATCTGTTGCCTGGCCCTTGTCTTCTGTTGTTTCACTACTACAGCTGACTGATAGAATTCCATCAGTTCTTCAGATGAGGTGACCTAACATTACTCACACCCTAGTAACCGGTCAGTGTGCATCAGTCATAGTCCTGCATGAGGTCAGCAACTTCCGGGGATAACTTGATCGTAAATTCTGTGACTAAAGCCATGGGTGATATCAATTCAAATGTCTTAGGCGAAATCATTTCTTCTTAGGGTTGTAGATATACCTAATGGATAACTGCAACTTAATCGCGAAACCCGAGATTATACCTTGTCTTCAATCAGCACACATTAGAGAGTTGTAAGAGAATTGAAGGCTCAGGTCAATGAACCACAATCACACTTCAAATTATGACAAAAAGGATAATTATAAATAATCAGCTTTAACATGAATACATTTGAGCTTAAATATAAACTAAGTGGTAACAAACATTCTAGACTGATGACAAACTTACACAGACAAGAATAATCAGTCAAAGCCCAGTTGAAAACTTATGACTATAAAATCTTATTAAAAATGATATTTCACTGTATTTCCGAGAAGTTTACCAGCAACAATGAAGTAATACTGTCTGACTATTTAACGGAGTTATTGTTATAATTGTTCCCCTGGGTTCCTAGTGGAACATAGAGCTTCAACTACACGTCTCCACTTGCTTCTGTCTTCTCCTGTACTTTTCACCTGCATCCATGTTAATCCATACTGTTTCAACTCCTCTTCACACGATCTCCTCCATGTCACCCTTGCACCGACGTCCCACTCGCCGCTTCCCTCTCGAGTTCCACTCGAGCACTGGTCTGACGCGCGATGTCACCCAGTGGCCTCCTCAGCTCAGCGAGTGTCCAATCCATATTCACTTTCTCCTGCATATTTGTTGAGCGATTGGTTCTTGTTTTGTTTGTTCCCATAGTTTCTTGTTGGTTCTTGTTCTTTCCGGCCATCTCATTGATCTTCAGTATAGAGCCAGCGAAGACAGTTGTTGATAAAGGTGTGCAACAGGCTGTTGGAAATATTCTTTGTGACACTCTGGCCAAGTTTCTGATCCATCCGTATAGAAGAACTGACTGACTTCACGTCGTTTGTATTGAAAATCCGAATCACTTTGTTGTTGATGCTGAGTTGAGTGACAGCGGAAGATTTCCAGATTGGTTTCAGGTTGATGAATGTGTTTCTCGCCTTCCCGATTCTCGATTTGACATCCTCGTCCGTTCCTCCTGTAGTTGAGACAATGCTCCCTCCCTAGATAAGTGAATGAAGTAACCTCTTTCAAATCCCTCCCAGTGATGGTGATTGGCGCTGGATGTTGCTACTGTTGTTGATGTTGTTATTGGTTGGTTATTTTCATAACCTCCGTCTTGTCTATGTTCACGTGGAGTCCTGTCTTCTCTGGCTGCTTCTTCGACCAGTTTGTCGGTTTTCGCTTGTAAGTCTTCGATTTTGTGTGACATCAAACATAAATCATCGACGCGCGAAATCCAGGTCTTCTAGGTTATTCCCGTCGGTCCAGGATATCCCTGTCTTCTCGTTTCCCACTGTCTGTTGCATAATCCAGTCCACCACAACTAGGAATATCATTGGTGATAATAAGCACCCTTGTCTGACTCCTGTGTCTACTCGAAACGCCTCGCTGAGTTTTCCGTTGTGGATCACTTGATATGTGCCGTTTCCGTACAGCTGTTGAATAAGGTTGATGAATATTTTTGGGGTACACCGTAGTACTCGAGTAGTTTCCAAATTACTTCGTGGTCAACGCTGTTGAGGGCCTTCTCAAAGTTTATAAAGTTGAGGTAGAGGTTTGATGTCATTCCATACTTTGTTCTGTGATGATGATGCGTAAAATAGCAATTTGGTCAGAACATGAATTGCCTTTCCTGAATCCAGCTTGTTCTGGTCGAAGTTCTGTATGCAGTGCCTCCTTTATTCTGTCCAGGATGGTGCGACTCAGAATTTTACTTGGCATCGACAGGAGCGACAGGAAGTATCCGGTGCTTCTTAAATTCTTTGAGAAATATCTAGGAGATTTCTGATAAAATCTGTCACATAGAACCATTCCATATAACGTTTAAGCAACAATGTGAAAACCTGTGAAAAACTCTCAAACAACAAATAACATTGGGTGGGCATCAGTGACTTGCAGGTAAAATGCTCAAAATCCATGACCGTGATCCGCATTTAAATCTCAGCAGATGCTGTCTTATAACCTCACCTCACCTAGTTTAACAGACTATAGTAAGCTCAGAAAAAGAGGGATGATACCATGTCAACTGAGAATTGAAAGCTCGAGGCCCTACATTCTTCCTGGAGTGTTCAGTGCATGTGGAGTAATATTACGTGAATTCATAGCAGTCAGAATTCCCTGACCATTGCTTGGATTCTGGCTGACTGAGTGACTCTTCTCATAGACTGTTGTTGTTGCAGGGATTCCATACCTAGCTAGTATGGTTATGAGTGCTCATTATTGAAAAGTCTCGAAGTAGAACAAAACAGCTACTTAGTATGCGTGCTTGCTTTTGCACTACTATCGTAAGCGATACTGTTTTGACGAAGACTGAAGAATTTAAAACTGGTTACGAAAGTGCTATTTAGTCTTTCTTACATTGGAACTTTGATCTATACTAATTAATTACTTCTAGGGCTACTCTTGGATTCACAACCTCCAGAACCTAAAGTATTCACAATCACGTTTGCTACAAGTAGATTGAGCATATACTCAACACTGGTCATTCGATTTGCAAGGAGAAGTCGTTCAAAGTCATCTATAAAGTCAAAACAAGCCTTCCAAAATCGACAAGCTTCCGTATACTTTGTATTGCCGAGACCTTAGCGATTTGGATAGAAAAGCCTGATTTATGCACACAGAAGAAACTTCTCCACCCCCTCCTACTACCGTGGGTTGAATTTCAAGTTTATCTGTCATCAACATTTTGTTATCAAATTTTTTGCAATTTTCGTATAATAATTTTTAGTAACTAACCCATTCAATTTTTTCACCTATTATCTAGTTTATTTTCATAATTGTCTCCAAACTTCTTCACTTGCATCTAATCTTTCTAAACATGTCTATATTACGTAACCCTACTCACATCTTACCAATCTTCATCCCACTTAGTTACAACTTTGAGTATTAATCACACATTTTAACTTCTTCATTATTTTGATGATGTAACTCTACTCACATCTTACCAGTCTTCACCCCACTTAGTTACAACTTTGATTATTAATCAAACATTTTAACCTCTTCATTATTTTGATGACATAATCAACAACCCACACTAACTGTTATTTTGATTTTGACAAACGTAATGTACACACACACACACACACAAATTAATTGTATATATATTTGCGACTGTACAGCTAAGTGAATGAATTCGCTGAAAAGAGACTCTTCGCTGAATCAATCTGCTCTTATTTCAATGTCTTAATGGGTACTTTTCGCGAACAAGTAGATTAATCAGCATATTTTGTCATTGGTAGAAGAAGAGGAATACAAAAGGAACACACAACTTACATAAATATTGCTTCCGGATCAACAAGCATTGCAGAATTTTTCAATGGCATATCAAACAGACGATGTTTGAGATAATCTAAGAAAACATCTGTATTGATTGATTCTTTAACTGATGTATAGATTAAAGCAGCTCCATCTTTTTTTTGTTGTTTAAATTGATGTAAGGGGAATTGGCGGGATTTACGTATGTATGTATGTAAAACACAAAAAGGATTTTGACAGAAATATATAAATATTATCAATAAAATAATCATAACTGTTATTCTGGTTAATGATGACTACCAGCGGGATCTAATAGAGAGGCATTTCGTCCTCTATTGGGACTTGTCATTGGATATGCCGACCTCCTTAGGGAAAGATGGTGTTCTCACTGAGACTTGAACTGTGTACCCACGTTTACAAATGTCAACAGATACCGAGAATTTCAGTTCAAAATAATCAATCAATGGGGAATGTAAATTAACCTGAAAATATGAAAGAATCGTAACTGTCTATGCACTATACGACGGACCAGTTTCGTGTTTTAATTTCTTCAGTAAGACATCGTTATGTTGTACTATACGGATCAGAGACTTGCACTGCGCGTCATAAACAGCATCTCAAACAAACTACAGACCTTCATCAACAGCTAGTTGTCTTCGCTCAATACCACTCAAGATCAGATGGCCGACCAGAAAAGATCAGCAACAGAGACGGATCTCTGGCAATGAGTGAACCAACACAGCAGGAACCAACCGATTGTGAAACGAATAGGCAGGAGGAAATGGAGATGGACTGGATTGGCCATACTCTGAGGAAACAAGCCATCAAGTGAGTGACATCACTAGACAAGCCATTGCTCGAGTGGAACCCGGCCGAAAGGGAAGCGGTGGCGAGTTGGTCAGCGTCGAAAAGCACTGGGACAAGCAGTGCAGGGTGACTTGGAGGAGGTCATGTGAGGAGGAGATGGAAACGTGTGGGCAGACTTGGAGCGAGATGAAGACTCTAGCAGAGAACCGAATGCAGTGGAGAAGTGCAGCTGAAGCCCTACGTTCCTCTAGGAATTAAAGGAAACAATAATAATAATGTTGTACTGGCGATTAATTGTCACAAGTTTACAATTTTCCTCCTGGATATTTTCATCGTATTTTGAATACATTAAGAATTGAAAACTACAAGCTTTTTCGTGTCACCTGAAATCAGCATTCTTAATATTTCCAATATGAAAAAATAAGTAAATGACATAATTTTGGACTACATAACTATTGTTTTACATTATGTATTTATACTCGTTAGTATTTATGATTCCACATATATATATATATATATATATATATATATATATATGGAGGCACTCGTTCAACGGGCCTATATTCCAGAATGAGGTCCAACATTTTGGCCAAAAAAATATCAATAGACATCACATGTGCAATCTCGTGGTTCAGTAACCTATTGGATGACTTTGTGGAGTTCAAGAATGATGAATACTGTTCATGAGTTATTGGTGGAAACACGCATCAGGCACTGGGATGAAAACACATCAGGCGAACGAGTCAGAAATAAGTTATATATGTCCAAACCAAGTTCACTTTTAACGGCTTGAAAAAATTTGGGCATTGGGTATATCATATTCATTATAATAAAGGTTTTTGTATTTCCCAATGAATGAAAAACAAAACGATATTGTTGTTTTTACTGACGTTTCGCTATTTAATGCTGCTAATAGCTTTATCAAAGTATTATTAAACTGGAACTTACAAAATCTCCTCAGCATATACATAACAAATAGTTAGGGGTGAGAAAATAGACTTAGGTCAAGTTAAAGTGACATATTGAAAGTAAAAATAGCAATGAAGATAACTAAACCATTAATATCAGTAAAAAGTTTGAGCATTGTGGATTAGACCAAATAAAGTATAATTATATTTCAATAGTTTACACACAATGATAAGTTTTGTTATTGGTAGTATTTCGAGCAAAATTACTGCCCGTGTTCACACCACTGTTGGAATTGTTTGATTCCACGAATAGAGAAAGACCAAATCCCCAAAGATTCTCTATCTAATTGTGTCTATAAAATAAAATGCTTGGAATGTGATGCGATATACATCGGACAAACATCCCGAGAAATCAAAATCAAAAGAAATGAACACCGTAGAGTTTCTGTTCGGCCACCGAGAAATCCTGTTGAACTACAAAAACTTGAAAAATCATCAGCCATAGGTCTACATGCTATAGAATCAGGCCACAAAATTGATTTCGACAATATTGAAATAATCCAGAAAAACTTCAGAAATCACAAAGAACGTTTAATATCAGAAGCACTTCATATCAAGTGGAATCCAAATTGCCTGAATAGGAATGATGGACTAAAACAGAATCTGACCTGGTTACAACACCTCCCTCCCCCCATCAAGTGACAAAACCAACACGAATGTGATAGGTACTTTCATTGTGTAAACACACGCTGCTTTTATAATCTTATACACTTATCAAATCCAGCAATCTACACATGATGGTTTTGTTATCTTTACCAATTCACCAACTTGACAACTAAAAAACGACCCAGACAGACGAATGATGATCAAGTCAGTAAACTTTATTTGATATCAAAACAGACAAACTATTACCTTTGTTATTTGGTTTAGTGATCTTCATTGCTATTCGACTTTCAATATGTCCCTTGAACTTGACCTAAGTCTATTTTCTCACCCCCTAACTCTCTTTATATATATGCTGAGATTTTGTAAATTCCAGTTTAATAATACTTTGATAAAGCTGTTAGCATTAAATAGCGAAACGTCGGTAAGAACAACAATATCGTTTTGTTTTTCATTCATTGGGAAATACAAAAACCTTTATTATAATGAGTCAGAAATAAGACTAAAAGTGCGTCGTGTTTTTATTCTACTCCTGGCTACTGCAAAAGGTATAATCATCATTAATTGCCTTTTAAAACATCCGAATTACACTGTGAATTATACAGGTCAGTATGCGGCAAATAAGATTTTTACTGTATTTTCAAAGTAGAACTTTGCATAGAAGTACAAGCACGGTTTTATTTGCCACATTCCATAAGCACACAAAGGTAGAAAAGAAGAATTCGACAGACTCTAACCTTTGGTGATTAAGCTTCTGACGACCCTAGCTGGGCAATCTGTGTCTCCTTACGTGACTCAAACCAAAAACCTCAAGGAAACTGATACACTCCCATAAATTAGTCGATAGTTTATACATAGAACTTGATTGTATCAGAATCAGGACATGATTCTCACCCCATGCAAAGTGTATTATGACTGTATTTCGTGATGAAATATATAATGAAATTAATCGAAGTTCCTAAAAAAAAACCTAAAATCTTAATGTCCACTATCCAGCTCGTTAGTTACGATTGAATGAATGTCTTCAAGTTATAATGAGAAGTCATGACCAGTGGGATTCACTGTGCCGAAGTTAAGCGGATGCTCATCAACAGCAGCATTACGTAACGGATTAATTGAGTCACTGAATTCCATCCTATTGTCTGAATGGTCAAAAGGTTGGTTTGAAGTCCCTGAGGTAGAACCCGCGACGGTGTGGCTACGGGTAGGCTCTGTTGAAGAGTCCTGAACAATGAAAAAACAGAACTTCAGTTTCCGCTTGCGGTTGTATAGCACCACTGCCAGCCAGCATAATCAGCGAGTATTTGTCCTCATAGTCGACTTCATAAAATCCACTAGTCTGAATTTGTGCATAAATCGAGGCCTGCAAACGACTACAAGTTCGAATCCTATTACAATCAAGGCCGTTATTCAGTTTTAATTACTACTTGATGAGTTTGATAGTAAGTAGATTTGGGTACTTTCAGTTAACCTCACCAATGTTCTACGTTTTGTTGGGAAATAGGTAAGACATTTGAACCTATTGTTATTATTCGCTTGGGTTGCGAGTGGAAGACAGAACTTCAACAACACATCTCCACTTTGTTCCATTTTTTGCTGTCCTCTTCAGTTGGTTCTATGATTGTCAGTAGTCTCTCATCTCTTGCTCGCCACACGATCTCCTCCAGTGTCACTATCTTATCACTTCCCATTGGGATTCCACTCGAGAAATTGCCTGGCTCGCAATCTCATTCGACGGCCTTCTCAGCATGTGCCCAATTCGTCTCCTTATTCTTCTCCATATTTGTTAAGCAACTGGCTCTTGGTTGGTTTGTTCCACTGTAGAGTTTCTTGTTGGTAATTCTTTCTGGCCGGCCGGCTGGCGTTTGAACTTCAGTATGGAGCCAGAGAAGGTGGAAACTGTTGATGAAAGTCTATAACTTCTTAGAAATCCTTTTCTTGACACGCAGTGCAAGTTTCTGACCCATATGGAAGAACTGACTGATTTCATATTTGTTTTGAACATCCGAATCTTGTTCTTCATGTTAAGTCAGCGCAGAATATTTTCAAACTGGTTTCAGGTTGATGAAGGAGTATCTTGCCTTTACGATTCTGACTTTGACATCTTCAGCCACTCCTCCTCTGGTTAAAACGATGCTTCCTAGGTAGCTGAAGGAAGTAACCGCTTTCAAGATTTTCCCGTTGATGCTGCTGGCTGTTGTTACTGTTGTTGTTGGTTAGTCGGTCATTTTCATCACCTCCGTCTTCTCTATGTCCACCTGCATTCCTGTCTTCGCTGCTCGTGCCTTCTGCCAGTTTGTTGTTTTTCGCCTGCAAATCCCGGGGTTTAAGTGAGAATAAACATAAACCAACCACGTGCGAAATCCAGACTTTGAATAGAGTCTTCTTATCTGTTCAGAGTATTCCGATCTTCTCACTTCCAACGCACAGTCTGACGCATTACCCAGTCAATCACAGTTAAGTATATCATTGTCAATCATCCGGGTTCATTGGAATCTGGCTTGCTGCATATTAGTATGCTGCCCGTGAGATTTTGATAAGTCCCCATTGGTGTAAATCTCTAAACGAAGACAAAATAAGTGTCTCTTATTTCTTCCTCTCCAGCAATTTTCAGCTGATTTTGCTGACTGGCAAGTCGGTCGGTCGGTTTTCGACATAGAACTCTGCACATATGTGTGGCAGTTCAAGTCGCCACACTCCCTCCTTGTAGCACACAAAGCAAGAGAATAAAGTAGGAGAAATGCATAATATAGACAGTAAACAGAGGTGTGAGACAAAGGTATAGCAGTAGCGAAGAACAAAACAGTTTCATTGGAAATCACAAGTCAGTCACAAGGAGTGGATGCATCTGCACCGGCCAGCCAATGAGAACGATCACTTTGAGCCATGTCACCAATTGTTTCCAACCATTGTTTTTTACCGTCCCGAGGACCCCAACCAGTCAGGAAGTCTACACCTTCCTACGTGGCTTAGACTAACTGTTGTGGATTTCATTGACTGGTTCCATGTTTTAGTTTGACCGCCGCTAGCTCTTTTCCAGCCTGACCCTATATCAGCTAACATTGCCCAAGGCATACGTAACACATGTCCTAACCATCTCAGTCGATGTAATTTAACAGCCTCGTCGACTGATTTCCAATTCCTCCTTACCTAGCACTCGACCGATGGCCTAACCTCAATATTGCTCACCTTATTATACCCATTCACACGGGAGATAGAACGCAGACACCTATGATCAAAGACAGCTAGGTAATCTTTTCATGTCTTCCACTCTCAATGGCCAGATCTCAGTCACAGCCATAAAGGAGGAAGGAGCGGACTGATGAGCAGTACACATGCCCTTTGGTCGATAGCCAGCCGGATATCACGTCTACTTATCCAGAGACGGCGTAAACTGGCATATGCGAAACTAGCCCTCTGTATTCGTACTGATATTTCGTCTGAGATCAACCCGTTGGGGCTGATGGTACTTCCCACATAAGTGAAGCGGTCAACGTGTTCTACCACTTCACTCCCTATTTCTAAACTAGGAGTTAGTGTAGTCCAATCCTGCAACATCATCTTACATTTTACAGGGGCTAATTGCATGCCAAACATACGAAGATTGTTGCTCAAGGTGTTCAGTAGACTCTGTATTTTGTCAGCGTCCTCACCTAGAAGGTCTATATCGTCTGCATATTCTGAGTCAACGAGATTATTCCCTGGTAGCAAGTCAATTCGTGAGTCTCTGAAGTGTGTTAGGGTTAAGTCCATTAGTACGTCTATGATGAAGTTGAATAGAAATGGGGATAATGGGCAACTGACAAGAGTCATCCTAAAGTGTGTTTTTTATCCAGAGTTTCTCTTTT